AACTAGTGATTGTCACGAAAGCTGTTGGATGTACCTAGTGACGGCACCAGTTTAATCATTATTTGCTCATTAACCGACATGCTTCTCAAGCAGCGCGTGCTTCAAATATTGGCCTGAAATTCTTGAAGCAATGATTGTTTAGTTGATGCGTAATCCAAACTCGATGCTAGACTGGAGCCGTGAACCATCTACGAGTGAAGACCAAGTTATTTGGTGAAGTTCACACCAAAGAAAGATGATATGGATATCATAGGATGTCAACCACTGGGGGCGAATTGCACTTCCCTGTGCAAGTCCGCACCCATATTTGATCTTGTAATTTGTATTGGGGAAATGCTTCCACCTCATCCCGTCAGATAACGTGTAATTTCCAACTAGTGTCCTCGGGACACTCCAATTCAGGTTCAACCTGCTCCGTTCGATCGTTCTAACCCACCTTTCAGCGGTTTTTAATATGCTATACGGCCAAAATTTCTCATGCAAAGTGAACTCTTTGTACTAGTGAAAGGAAGAAAACCTTCGCTACTGAGTTATTTATTAGAAAATGCCAACTGAACAGTTACAGACTATTGGACAGGGAAGCAAAACTCTCATATGCATCTTGTTTACAAAAACTGAATATCCATCTTTCCCTTGAACGCGTCTTCCTGAACTTTCCTGAATATCCATTGACTGTTGCTCAAATCCAAGCAAATGCTACAAAGCGACTCCACAAATTCCGATATAGATCTCACTTTTCAAGAGACGCAAAGCGGATTTACGGGAAAACATACTACTCGTATGCCTCCCTTCACCAGTAGTATCACCGTTACACTAGTACTTACTAGGATGACAGTTGTGCTCCCAGATCCTCCAGACAACGGTACGATGTGAGCCGGGATTTACAGAAACCCTACTACTGACTCTGAGTATGAAGTAGTTACATACAGCTAGCAAGGGTAGACAGCGTGGTAGCCGAATTCCTTAAAAGACAACATCTGATGTGACTCAAAACCAACTTATATAGCTCAACAGCGGAACTCTGTTTCTCTAAATCTGGGCTTGGTGTGCAGCATTGGTCGATGGATCGGTGTACACGGTTCATGTGCTGAAGAATGCGGGTGGCTGCATTTTACATTTCCTTGGGTTGGCGTCTTACCATTCATACAACTTTAAATGGAAACAGAGAGTAGAACAAGAAGCCACGTAGTAACCCGAGTTGGAAACGTCGATGGATGTACCGGCATGCCAGGAGTATGCCCTGGTAGCTGTCACTTTAGAGTACATGTGGATACAGCCTGCGTGCCTCTCTTGGTCATCATTATACATGATGTAATATGCGAACGTTCCAAAACGTGGAAGCGACTAAGATAGTGTAGATCTAGTGTGAAAAATCCAGCTTTCCCGACCCATAAAAGCCTGGGAAGTACCTGGACTGTAGTACATCAGCCCACAGAGCCGTTCACATACAACCACTCATTTACGTGTCCAACCGAATCGGCAAGTTAGCAGCCCCCAGCTCCCATGGTCAGTCAGCATCGTGGTGTACATGTAGCCGAAACTGTTTGTGTCTTTATATCAATGACTTCTCCCCACCCAAGATAAGTCGTGCACCCTAGCTTGACCCATACTACCCTGACAACCTGTTAGCTTCTTTCGTATCATTGTTTTTCTGTTCTAGAAATGACGGAAGAGGAGATCTTAGAAGCTGAATTGGCTCGAGAGGTTGACGAAATGGTACTCATCTCGTCGAAACCTGGGGAACCGGACGAACTGGATCGGGAGCTGGAAATGGAACTTTTAGCTGAATTGGGCCAGGAGAATTCTTCATGATTTCTATTAACCCAAATTGGTCTTCATTATCTTGTTATTTCTTTTTACCTACATACCGTATTACTGTGTGTCTTCTTCATTAAGCCCACCGAACAAACTACCTAAGACTCGAAGATGTGATATGTTGTGCGTTAACTTTCCCGTCTCCATCACCATCAGTTGTTTGATCGAAAGTTAATATAACGTTGTGCTACTCATTACAACTCAAGTAGCGGAATTGTAGTGAATCTGTATGGGGAACCCTGGTTGTTCGGCCTTCATTTGGAGTCTAATCTGGTCTCTTATTTGGGGGATTCTTTTTTGCATGGGAAATCCAATTGGGTCGTAAGCTATTTGGTGTGAACTATACAAAGATGGCAGTGTGCAAATACGGTCAATCAAGGAATTTGTTCCAATGGGAAATTTTATATCTTTTTCGTGGTCAATCAAAGGGTCATGCCGCGTGACGACTACTCATCAAGTACAGCAAATACGGTCAATCAAGGAATTTGTTCCCGTTGGAAATGTTTATATCTTTTTCGTGGCCAATCAAAGGGTCATACCGCGTGACGACTACTCATCAAGTACGGTTTGCCGTACGAGAGCTTAAGAAGTCTTCAAAAGCCTTCGAATGGTAAAACTTCTTGAAGAAAACTTAAGGCCGAAAAATCGGGTAGCAACGATGATCTATGTGGCTTAAAGTGCCTTCATGCACGTCTTTTTTTCCAGACGGTGGTCGTGAACGCGTAGATGGATCCATAGGTTAGGTGTAAATTGTCACCATCACAGATGTTAGTGCCGGCTTTGGGATTGATGCCTTGCTTGTAGTCGGTGAGGAGCAGGCTTGCATGATGCCACGGTGTTCATCCCTAGATAGCGGTACTGCTTGGGTCTTCAACCAAGGAATTTGACCCAAAGGCCTGGTTATAAGGTGTCGGATGGCCGCCAGAATGATTCTCTGATGAAACAAGTTACCGGACTTATTCCAGTCTCAAGTCAACGAACGGTGTTCATCAGACCTGCATCTTATCTTTGACAAACACCAACTTATCCTCATCATCAGAGACAGCAACATCACTGTTGACAATGATGCTTCACTGCTGTCAAACCACAAAGTTCATCGAGTATAATGAAAAACTTGGATTGGGAAAAAGTGAGTGAGGGAAGGGTCCTAGTACTAACCTACCGCAAGCATTTTGAAGTGCCTACACCCCCAAGCGTTCAATCAGACAATCTGGAGAGAAACTAACAACACCAACGCCGGTAACATCATTCAGCCGGCATTTCTTGCATACTCTCCAGCCAAGCGCAGGAGGTGTCACGAGGACCCCATCCCTGAATGCGGACCACAACAACGCAAATTAGCATGCGTGATTCGGGCCTTTGAGTCCGTGTGCCGACTTGCGTCAGAGCTAATATAACTACCGAAGTGTGTAAAATTCTTAAATTGTAAGGTGTATGTCCATTGACTGCACATTACGGAGCATGATTTTGCACTTTGAAGGTGCAAAACCCATACCAAAAAATGGCGTGGTCAGTTTATTCAATAGCTGAGGATGGTATCGCCTGCTTACACCTGGTCAAAAAGGATCTCACCAGCAACTGTTTGAATACCGAGGTTTTGAAAATTTCGCCACAATATTTCATCGACAGCGAAGTTGAAAAAGAGTTCACCTTCCAGTAGGAAATAGTCACAATAGGGTGAAATCGATCAAGACGTTTCAACCGCCGTAATCCATGCATTGTGCGAGTACAGCATAAGTCATCACATCACAGTACGATTCAGCCTCTTCGCAACTGTAGATTAGTCCCGGGAAAGTGGGGGACCACTGTTTCAGAATAACCATGATAGTTGTTAACCTTTTGTTCAGCTTGACGATCGGGCCTTTTCTATAAGTTCAGTCGTTCTTATTCACCACGAACATCTAGATAACTGACGGATACTTGAGTTCTGAATATGTGAAATTTCTCGTTAACTTTGAAACTTTGTATTTAGGTTCAACTAGGTGGATTATCATTGGCCTGGTTGAACTCAGTCAGAGCTGCTCTGCGTCGTTTTCTTAATGCATAACATGAACTTGTATGCATATGGATGACCCTGTTTCCCCTCAAGAATGAATGATTTATGTCACCGCTCATTATCTTTGAAGTCTCTTCGAAGTGAGCGTGCGGTTTCGGGACATCCACATAGCTTATCATCCGAGAGGTAAGCGTAAGCTCATTCGATGAGTAGACTAGTCGAACTTGCTGACCGCATAAAAATGAGAACCAGATTATTGGCAGTTATTACCGGTCACATGACGCCTATTGTCTCCGA